ATGTTGCCTGTGGGTAGGCAATGGCAACCTGGGCAGTGCAGTAAATTGCCGGCTGTATTAAGTCATCTGTATCCCACATGGTCAAATGCAGCTTCTCACTCCAGGGCTCGGTCTCCAGGGTCAGCCTGAGCTTTAGGGAACTTGAGCTAATGATACAGATGTACAGGCAAAAATATTCATCATCATGAGAAGATTTAGTAAAACCTGGTCACTACAAAGCTCCAGGAACGACACGCCTCTGAAATTTTCTCTGACAACAGATAACGCTCCACTGATACCAACAGAGATACATCAGCTCATATTCACTGAAAATCAAGTGCAAAATAAATTAGGGTAACACTGGCAACTTGGTGCTTATAAGAATTTTTTAACACACAGTTTTGCATGTGTATGGCAAGTCTGCAAGGAACATAAAGTTCCTTTATACTGGGGCAGAAGTATTATCACATGAGTTCTCAACAGTCTGCTTTTCCTTTCATAGCTGGACGTGTCAAACAGACCACAACCAGCAGATAAGAAATGCCTGCAAAATCAAAGTGCAGATTAGAGAGGCAGCAACAGCAGCTGAGAGAACCTCTACCACAGCTGTGAGACAGATCAAGGGAGCTGAGAAATGCTAAGTGCAAACTTTACATGACATCCGATCTATTACATAAGTAAACAGGCCATTACAAGGCTGTGAAAACACTGATTTTCTTTCCTGCTTGTTAGCCATGGACTCTGTGGCATCAGCTGTGGCTAGCGCTGCCGCTCACAATGCTGAAAGGCATGAACACAGAGCTAAAATAAATTAGCCTCTCCCCTCAGCTTAGAGGGAAATGTTCATATATCGCTGTTTGTGAGGATGTATACATCTGTTTTTCAGCAAACTGTCACAGCAATATTAAAACCTAGAACTATTAATAAGGGAGTGCTCTGTGATTCAGAGACATGCCTGACATGTAAATATTTCCCTCCAATGTATGCATTCCCCAGAACTAAAGCAAGTACCACTAAAGCAGAGTTTGCACATCGAGGAACAAATTTATGTCACACAGCATCAATGCAAGGAATGCCATAAACAGTGTGCTGACAAGGCCTGCAGTATTTTCTAATTCTTTGGAGTTACAAGTCAGCTGTCATCATCAATACTGGCCAAACACTTTGTGTAAATGAAGCTATGCAATATGGAAGTGGGTCCTAGTAGAGAGATCCAAAAAGAGCATGAGATCATGAATTTCCCCAACTCAGACAACACAGGGCTCTGATCAAGCAGCCCTTGCCCACATTGGTAGTGGATCTCCCACTGGACAATCACAGTGGGCACAATCGCCAGCTGGACAAAAACTGGCATTTACAGGTGCTCTGTGGGCTTCAGGCAAGCAAAGCCACTACATGTATGGAAAGACTAAAGCCTAGCATCTGCTGTCTGGGATCATGTGGGCAGATGAAAGCAGTACCAGCTAGGGGAATTTAATTCCCTTTAATAAAATATTGTTTGTTAAACCAATTGATTTGTGTTTGCAAGTGAGGAAAATTAGTTTATTAGGCACCAGGTAGTTTGGTTTAATTTTCCCAAATTTCCAGGTGGGAGCTCCAAGCAGTGTTTAACTATCAAACCCTCTCAATTTGAGCTGGATCCATGCAGCTGCATGCCAGCCAAATTCTGGCAGAGGCTTATCACATCTATAACAATGAGAATATCACCTGACAACCAATGCCCTGTAACACCAACTCACATTGAAGAATCTTATAATGTAACAGCCATTGACATTTCCTAGCTGCTCCCCAGAAGGCAGCCCATAGAGCCTAGTTATTTTGTCTTAGCTTTGTTCTAGTTAGAGACAAGAGTACCCTGAAAACACATGGCAGAAATCAGACCATGCAATTTCTGATTGCAGTGTCAAAATGGATATGTTAAAAAAACCCTTAAAAACCATATTCCTCTTCTTCACCATTGTAGTCCTACAATCTGTAACAATTCTACCATCTGAAACTCACCATGTCCAAAACGCATCTTTCTTCTCGCTGTGAGGACAGCAACTCAAAGTGAAAATATCGGGTGAATGCAACTGTGTCCCTGATGTCAAAAAAAGGAACATGATCTAAGAGTAAACAAGTAAAATTTACATGTCATTTGTCCTTCTCTACAGAAGAGTGTTATGATGCACTGAGGTCCACAATGCTCCTTAAAGCACATCTTCTGTCTGTACAGCTTAAAGCACTGTACTTTCAAGGATTGTATTTTTCCCCCACTCACTATAAGCCAAATAAAAAGGGTTGGAATGAAATTGCCAAAAGTAACAAAAGCCATTGTTGCAGCTTCAAACATGAACCCCATTTCCTGCTCCATCTCAATGCAGCTGAAGACAGGTTTCTGCTGCAATGATGAAACTACTACAACACACACACAAGAGCTAAGAAAAACATCCAGGGTGTCACTGAGTATCAGTAGAAAATCTTACAGCACTTAAAGCATCCAGTTATTTTTACCCAGGGTTCTGGTGATTAACAAACTGTGAATGTCAGATCCATCTAACTCACCCTGAAAGTACAGGAGAGGGAACTAAGGAACAGGTCCTTAGCACCACTTACTGAAACAATACAAAAGTAAGAATTATTATTATTGCTAGTTCCACTGTTGAACTTCAATTCAACTGAAAATCTGCCCTCCAATAGCACAAAGGTGAGTCAAGTGCCTCAGGAGATGAAACAACCAGCATTACTCTCCAGCTTGGCTTATATTATACCTTGGCAAGATGAAGCTGTTAGAAATCAACATTCTTTGTATTCCTCACATATGCAGGTGCTTTCAAACCAAAGCTCTGCCTTCTCCTCCCCTCCCCATGAAAGAGTTGGAAGGTTATGAATATCAATTAAGATAAGAATATGGTGCAAAATGCTTAACGTGCCTCACCGCATGCTATCAATGCAGTGCATGCCAGCATGGCAAAGCATGGGGCCAAAGCAGGAGACGGCATTTGCTTCAGGAAAAAGTGTGCAGTCAGGAATTACCTTTCAGTGGAAAATATTTAGCCAGATGGGAAAGTTATTTAGATGTGACACGTCCCATTAGTGGCAACTAAGGCCCATGGTATGAAATCTCTTATTACAGCACCAGAGTTGTGCCACACTGTCACTAATTAATAGCACTATTCTCTTTTTCCTTTCCCAGCCTGTACTTTCAAGTCGTTTATGCAAGAACCACTGAACTATTATGGTCTGGTGGCCCACTTAGCACAAAGCAAAGTGGCAGCCAGCAGATAAGCAGCAAGGGAAGAGGGGCAGTGGCGGGGACTGGAATTTGTCACTGCGCTATGATTCACCAGTAATTTATGTGGGATGCTGCACAGCACAGGCAGAACCCAAGGACGCACTCAAGTTCACCCTCTGCGTTTTCCTTTCTGCTCATAGGTGGGGCTGGGTTCACAGGATTTCCCCTTCCTCTACCGTCACAGATCTTCAAGGTCGCTTATCCGATAGGGACCAGGGGTCGGAAACGCTTTGAGAAACCCCACGTTTCACCCCAGCTAAGGGCAGTCTGTTCTGTGCCCTTGGGACAGTTCAGCTGCCAATGCCTCAGGAACAGCAACATTTAGGACGGGCCAGTGTATATTCGTACACCTTAGTTCCACAGATACTGTGCTTAAAAACTGTACCATGAATCTTCTTAAGAATACTATTTATTGCACATCGTGTAGCACAAAACCCCCGTGAAGCCACGGCGCGGGCAAACAGCGCCCGCCATCAGCAGCCGGAAAAGCCTGAGGACCTGACCCCGAACACGCAGAAACCGGGATCCGACAGCCCTGAGGGCCGAAGCCTCCTCCCTCCGCACCATCCACAGCGGCCGGGCCGACTGAGAGCCGCGGCTGGCCCCCACCGCCGCTTCGGCCCTCACACACCGCGCAGAGCCCGGCGGGCGGCGGATGCCCCGGGCACAGCCCTCCCGCGGGCAGCGCCCGCCGCCGCGGCACTGCGGCGCCCCCTGGTGTCTCGCCGGCGGGCCTCGACCGCCCGTGCTCGGAGCCTCCTACAGACGGTGTTCAGGCCGCTGCTGCGGCTCCCTCGGCCGGCCTCCGCCCGTGAGTGTGCCTTGACAGCCCGCCTGGAAGCAGGCGGGGGTTCCTCCAGCCTCATCCGGCCCCAGGGCCCGGTGCTCCCTGCGTGCCGCAGCCACGATGGGAGCCCAAACACGGCCCCGCCATGCCACCAGGCTGCTCGCTCCCCTCGCTCATGCCTCTCCAACAAGAAACCTGTAGGCAGGAGCGAGCCCTCCGTAGACAACCTGCCTGCCTTCCACTCCGGATCGTCTTCGTCAGACCTCTGGATCTCTGCAGACTGCAGGCTGTCAGGGGCAAAGGCCCATCTTACTGGTGACAAAATGGGCTAAAACAAACCAGCAGTTCTCCGGCGGCTTTCCATCCATGTTCCCCTCATTAAATCTCCTTTTAATACAGCCCTGCTGAGACAGCAGCTTTCAGAGTTGGTGTATGTTCTGGCTGCATTTCAAGTCCTGGTTGAAAGCAATTAAAACTGCTGGTGTGGTGATGAGCTCCCAGGGTCCAAGGCCTTGTTTAGTAGGTCAAGGCTGGCAGGGCAGCACAAGAGCATGTCCAGTCAGCGCGTCGTGCCTTGGGTTCGTGTAAAGGCAGCCTGGTCAGGACGCGGTATGGGATTACACCTAAGGAACCAAGAGAAACAGACTCAACTCCGTGCTGGATGACATGAGAATGTGTCCTTCTGTCTTAACGTTGGTCATCCAAATCCCATAGGACTCAGAGGAAATGTGGAAAGGAAAACCCTTTGTGTGCGTTCCTTCTACCTTGGCCTGTCCATCAAGTTTGTCTGTGGCTTAATGGGATCAAATAGTAGGACAGGACAAAACTTGCATGACCACCCATGAAATCACAGAATGGTTTGGGTTGGAAGGGACCCTAAAGCTCATCCAGTTCCAACCCCCTGCGACAGGCAGAGACACCTTCCACTGGAGCAAGTTGCTCCAAGCTCCCGTGTCCAACCTGGCCTTGAACGCTGCCAGGGATGGGGCAGCCGCAGCTTCTCTGGGCAAAAAGAAGTGATGATCTTGTGCTCCACTTACTAGAAAAGAGAGTGATGATATATATTTTGCCTTCAGCAAGGCTTTGTTTGCAGACATAATCATAAAAAAAAGACATGACTTAGAGTGCAGAAGACACTCTGCCCTCAGAGAGCAGTATCAGTGGTTCACTGTCAGATTGGAAGGATATTTTCCATGATGATCTGTCTTGGGTGATGTGAACACTTTTATAAATAATTTGGATGATGGTAGAGAACATGCTTACTAATTATGCAGATGACAAAAGCTTTAAGGAGGTTTGAAGACAGCTAGAATGAACATGATCATGACAAACCAGGAGAACAAACAGTTTTGAAGATGTAAGTCTAAAAAATGTAACTCAGTTTGCAACCTAGTGAAGAAAAATTCAGTGGCCTACACTTACTAAGGATAAGCACATGTATGAAACAGGGAAGGGCAAGGCAGTGGCACAGGAGTGCTTCTGGGATGCTTGTAAGTAATCATCAAATGAATATGTGTCAGAGTTATGCTGCTGCAAAGAGACTTACATCATAAAATGCAGTATCTATAAGAAATCCCCATGGTGTAACAATAACAGCAAACCCAGCAAGTCCTTAGACCTTGGCTGAAATACTGCATTTGGAAAGCTACAGGCCAGCAGGAGAGAGCCAAGTGTGTCAAAGGAACAGAAAATATGACATCATGCATTTGTCACAATTCTCTCACTCTTCCTGCACAAAGAGAAGGTTGAAGGAAAGCATAACTAACGGCCGGATACAAGGAGGACTTGCCAAAACTAGGTATTATCTCCCTAAAGGAAGGGGAAATGTAATGACTTCAGATGTCAAAGGGGTAGAGTGAACATTAGAATGGCTGAGGGGATGTTTAACAGTAGTCACCACAAAGCATAGCATGATTGCTCAGCGAGGCTGAAGAGTCTCCATCATCAGATGCTGATAAGAGCAGGTTGAACAAATCAGGAATGACATACCTTCAGCACTGCACCTCCTGTTCTGTACAGTGGCAATGATGGGAGCCAGGATGCTTCTGAGTCAGCCTGTCCTCAAGTCTTCATCAAGCATCCACTCAGCTTTTTGCTGCCCTCAGCCTGCAGGAGCAGAAACACCCAGTGAGTTTTAAGAGATCGACCATTCCTCAGAACAACACTGCTTAAAATACCTCCCTTCCTCCAAGGGCTATAAACAAACTCTGCATAAGAAATGCAAAACTGGAGTTAAGTCTGACTGGCCACAGGAAACATGAAATGATATACTCTGACTTGAAGGGTTTATGTGAATCCAGTCAAAACTTTCTGAAGTGGATGCCTCAGATCAGGCCATTAAATCCCTATACAGAAGCCTAAATCAGTGGCCTCATTTTCAAACACACACTGAGCACTCAAGCAACTCCTGTAGAGTCTAAGAGGAGCTAGTGATTGCTTGTCACATCTGAGAACTTGTGCCACTTTGGCTCTGAAATGTGGACCTGAAAGCAATTTCCTATGCAATTTTTCACAGTTCTAATCCTTGTGTTTTGTGAACTTTTTTTTTTTTCCTAGGCCATTATTTTCTTTGTAAGACATTAAAGCAACTCCAAAGCTTCAACTCTGGAAGTCTTCAATGGATGTGGAACGTCAGGCTGAGAACTACAGCACGCTGAAGATTTTACCATATCAAACACAGTTTGCACTCCCACATCCCCTCCTGCATTCGTAATTACATTCTGACTCTCGTTATAATCACATTTGGGTCCCAGTCCTGCTTTGGAAATTTCATGGCTGCAGGCAGGGACATATCTTCCAAGGCACAGCACCCAACTGTTGGTTAAGCCATACGCAGTCATCATTGTCAGAGCCAAGAAACTGGTTCTTCACCATTTGAATGCACCAGTTACTGCATCTGGACTTCTGGCTCAAAAAGCCATATGGTGCAGAGTCCTCGACACCCTCTTTATTAAAGATATGCTAAAAAGGAATACAGTTCTAGCGCTAAATGGAGAGATTTCGTTACTGTAACTCTGAAAGAAGTTATAATGCTGTTTTTTTTTTGGAGCTTAGCACTAGAACAAGTATGCTGTATCTGTAGGAGGGACAAGAAGTTGTGCTTACCTACAATTATAGTAGAACGGGAAAAATCAGTTTTACCCCCAAACTCTGAATATTTTATGTAAAATGCATCAAGTGTGATTTTGGGTAAGCGTTGAACAGAAATTCCCAACTTTTCCCAGAATTTTTCCTCAACAAACTGTAAGAACATGTTTCAGGAATTTTGCCAGGAGGATGCACAGCCAATAGCAGATGCTTGCAAGAATAATTAAAGCTCAGAAACAGGAGAAAAGGATCCACTAAAATCTTACCCTATTGCTATGGAGCAGTTGACATACGTGGTGGGATTACTGTCCCCTAACTTCAGATATCTACAAGGCAGACTTCTGCATGGGACATAGTCACCCTTGGCTGGCACTAGTACCAAAGAAATGAGCATGTGGCATCAAATGAAAGCAGCTTACCTAGGGCAGCAGCATTTGCACAGCGGGGAAAGGAAGAGCTCCTGCTTGCTTCAGTAACTGCTTTTCCTTGCATTATCAGTTGGCTTGCTTTAGTCTACTGCATTTATATCCAGTGGTTGCTCGTATTTATTTTAGAGTGCTGCAATTCATACATCTCAAAGTTTACTTTCTCTTTTTCTCCTTCACAAACCTTACGCTTAAAGAGATTTATAGGGAACTACCAGAGAGAATGTACCAGAGAATAAGAACCCTTACCTGACCTAAGCTGCTTAGATTTCAGCCACTTAAATGAAGTACCAGTTAATTAGCAATCCATTTGCAGTACTTTAAAGACATATTTCTTAAGCAAGCTTTATGCTTGTTCATGCTGCCCTCTCATTTTCCACCCTAGAAATCAAAACATCCCAATGATATCTTTGAACAGTGATGAAACTGTAAACATAGCCAAGTACCTCCTGAGCCAAATAATACCGGCAGCTTCCCTTATTTCAGTAATTTTCTCTTCTCACTACTGAAACATGAGATTTTTCATATCTTCACATTAAAAATCCTACCTGCCAATGACAAAAAAAAACAAACCCTTCCAGTGAGTAAGTCACCCTGAAATGCAGCAGCTATAAATTTGGAAGCCATTTCCCACTCTCACATGTGACTCCTCCAGTTTCTCAGGGGAAAGTCAATCTAACATCACATTGCAGTCCCAGCTGCTTAATTAGAGTGACTAGGAGATGGCATCCCCATGCCTGCATGAGGCAGATGGAGAAAGCCACATGCCACCATTGCAGGGGCCATGCAAGGTGGTGCGTTTCCATGCATCTGACACAACTCGCCTCTGCAGCACCCCAGAAGGCAACAACCCACAGAGCTAGTGAGCAATTCACTACTCTTATCCCTCTCAATACATTTTATTACCTTCTGAAAACAAATAGGCAACAGAAAACAAACCAAGTAAGTCAACATCAACAGGTACCTGAAGGAGCCACAGATCTGAAGAGCTGAGGATGCAGCAGCAGGAGGTTAACAATATTAACATTATTTTGGGGTAGAATTATACATATTTCTAAAGTGAATTTGAATGCTTCATCTCTTACCAGGGAAGCTTTTGTTATTATGAATTCTTTTGTCTGAGATTATAATTATTTGGGTTCAGAGAAAGAAGAACGGGCAGTGGGTTTCTTTGCCTAAGAATTCAGTTGTATTCCAAGGTGAGTAAATAAATCCCAAACTAATTTTACCTATTGGCCACTCCAGTTAGAAATGTTGGGAACAATATAGGCAATACTAATCACAAGCTTACAACTCTTGATTAAATGATAGACAAGACATTTGCATTTACCCTTAATAGAAAGTACTAAACACTGAGCACAGTCATCAAGGAGTTGTTTCGAGCAGAAGAGGCTCTTAATAGAAAGCAATAAACACTGAGCACAGTGGGAGCAGAAGAGTCAGGCTTGTGGGCACTTCCAGCCCCGGAGAACACCTGATGTCAAGGATCAATCCGTACAGACCTCTTGAACATCCGCTGTCAGCCACAGGAGGGCAAAGCGAACCTAGCCAAACTAAAGAAACCACAGTAAAGCAGCCCAACCGAGACAGGATCACTCTTGGTAAAGGGGAGAAGGTCTCAGGGCCAACCACGGGGAATACAGAATATTTCCGTACATCCTCCATACCAAAGTGTATTTCTACTACTCATCAGCAGCAGGACCAGCTTAGGAAGGAGCAGCAGAGGGGAACAGCCTGCTGGGGCTGCCAGTCAACAGCAAAATGTCTCCCATAGACCAGACCCTCTTTGCTTAAGCCAAGTCCCAGCAGCACTCTGCACATCATAAAATCAGGCCCAAACCCTCCATAGCTGCCAAGCATTTGCCAATCAGAGCATCAAGCACTGATTTCAGAGTAAACTTATTTGGCCGACGCAGACACTGCAGCTATTCATAATGTCCCCTCCATCAAACACAATTCTGTGATTCGAAAGAATACTTGTTTTTCATAAACCCTGGCATCTCCCCAGCAATCAGTGAACTCCCTGGCAGACGGCCAGCACATCCACTGGTGGCAGCAGTAATTCCTTCTCATTATAATGTTTATATGTGCATAAATCTGAGCCAGGTGAATTCACAATATGCAGTGCAATGATAAATGTATCACATACAGCAAAGGATCGAGGAGGTGACTCTGGAGATTTCTCATCTCTGAATGGCAGCATGATCCAAATACACAGTTCTCAAGGTTTTTGAGTTCCCAAACTCATGGCCAAGTTTCTGCTAGACCTTAGCTTTTTACAGAGTCCACGGATCTGCTTTAGTTTTCATTAAACAGATGATAAAGGGAACCTGTGTATGACTTTTTGGAAACTCAAAGCAAATGTTTGGGTTTGTTGTTTTTTTTCTTTAACTTAAATACTCAAGAAAATGTTTTAAAAAGTAAATGTTTTGGTTTGAAAGATAAGGCAGATCTTTCCCAGATTTGCTGCAGGACCTGTGGGAAATAAAGGGTGCTTATTTTATGCATTTCTCAATGTAGCTTAGAGCTGTTACATACAGGTTTGTTTACTTCCCCACTTGAACACATTCTCTTTTCTCACTATGAGAAAATCAAGGTGGGGAGGAGGGGATGACACCCAACAGAGCACTAAGGATGCTCAAGATTTTAATTTGTTCACAGTACGTTCACATCATCCAAAGGGGAGATTACTTCAACACAGACATGTTGGAGGCATGACCAGGAAAAGACAAAAGGCTGCCTCCACCTTTGCTGGTAATGAGGGATCTTTAACCAAGATGTGCTTTCCTCAAAGTGTTCGTATCAACAGCCATGTTCAAAAGAGCTTGGCTAAAAATACACGTCTTCCAGTGTAAGAAAAAACAACATACAAATGTAAAAGTCATACAAAGCAAAAGAGACTTTTCAAACCAATCTTTCCACCCTGAGATATATCCCAAAGCAAAAGCAGGGGAAAACATTCTTTCAGGTACCACATTAAAAATAAAAGCCATCTATGAGTAGTTGCCAGTAGCACACCAAAATTATCACCCTGGTTTACTCCAAAGAAATCATGACCTCTGGAGCCAAAATGCTTTAAAATAGGGGGTTCTGTATCTTTGCCTTGTGGTTTTCAAGCCAGTTGCATGACCCTATTGAGCACGCTCAGGCCAATTTGGTTTAATGAAAGCAGTCTGATCACAAGACTGGAAGCTTGAGCCCTAAGGAAAATACTGACTATCATGAGACTCCCCAGTAAAAGAACACTAGTGAATTGTGAAGTGCAGAGGTCTTTCAACACAGAGGCTGAGTTTCATATCTGTGCCACTTGCCTGTTTGTGCAGGAGGCTCATGCCTCGTTTCTTCCCTCAGGTGTCAGGCACTTGAGCTTTCCATCTGAGAACTGAATTTGCAGTTTCCAGGTGTATTTCAAAAGGAATCTGAAATATTCCCTGCTTGTCTGCAGGTATTTCAATCCCATCACTCAGGCAGGAGCTGAACAGCTGCTACATTAAAGGGAAAGCCCACACGTCAGAAGCAGAAAAGAGGAAGATGTTATAAGCAAACCTGAGCAAAAGGCAGCTTATGATTAAGTCATGAGAATGTAATTAAGGG